AATTTTTATTTTGTCCCAGGCTCATGACAAGATGAAAAGCATATTTCTTTAATTCATTCCTACCTTGATAAGTTCCATGACACACAGCTACAACTCAACTTGTGGTGGATCTCATTCTACAAGAAAATGTGGAGTTACAGTTAATTCAAGCATCATTTTGTTATTCAGATTAGGGTACACAGATAAATAGAACCACTGCTAACTCCAACAAGATCTGATTTGACCCCATTTTTCCAGTCATTTACTATCAGAGACAAGGAAAAGTCCATAAAAATGCAAAAAAAGAATGAAGCAAATATGAGCTATCTTGACTGAACAAGCTTGTTCAAAAAAGCATTTATTACACAGCAAAAATATTTTGCCCTATTATGAATCAAAATGACTTAGTTATTTCAAGAGAAGGGAAAGAAAGCAAAATGTTTTTGTAGCGAAATAAACCTTTGTTTCTCCATTTGACTGTCTTCTGCCATCTTTTGGACTCCAATGCCAAGATTGCCCAAAAATTACAAACTTTGTAAATCTGCCCCAAGTAATTTTTTTTCTTGTGCAGGATCAAAGTGGGCGATCCTGAGCAGGCAAGATGGGGCCATCTTGCCTTCTCAGTTAGCCAATCAAAACAAAGGTTTTGCTGCCAACAATGTAATTACTAAGTGGGACAAGATTCTATTTTTTTAACTGATTTTTTTTACAATAAAACCCACTTTCTAGTTGCTAAAACTATCAGCTAATGATAACATTTAAGTCAACATATAAAGAAAAGCCAAACTATTCAAGATTCCACTGACCTGTAGTTGCCACTGGCCTAAATTCATTATATCAGGAGCTTCATAAATTCTAACAGTACCATCCTTGGAGCATGTGGCCTGAACAAAACAAATTAACAATAACTGATCCCTTTTGTGCAATTACATATTTTTTACTTAAAGGTTAGGTCAAAGAGATTCAACATTAGTAAGCTTTACTTACTTAGACCAAAAGATAAATATTGTTAAGGGACCTTTAAGGCATGAAATTTCGCATTGGAAAAAACACACAACAGTTACTTTGTCTGTTGCAAAATTTCTAAATTACACCAAACATTTTAAGTCACGTAACATTTGAAACTGACTTTTCACTTGTTTTCTGGTGTCAGAACCTACCAGCTGTAGTCCCAAATGCTTTGGAGCAAACTTGACATCTGTTACTGATGTTCTACTATCAACTAGGGAGCTCCTTTTCACCTGAAAAAAGGAGAGTATGTTACATTTTGGTGATAATGCTAGGTCTGTAGAATTAGGTTCTTCACATGCCCATCAAGTGTCAATATAATATTATGTTCTCAATATTCACTTTTCTCACCAAAACAGAAAAGATCCAATCTGTGAAGAAGTTCATCCCACAAATTTTCCATGCTACATTACAAAAGTCATTAATAAAATGCTACCACTGAACCTTTTACACCCTAACATCAGTTGAGGTATTCTCCACACTGTTTTTTAAACATTCCCTCAGGTGCTAACAAGGAGAATTTTTGTAAAAATCAATAACTTCTTTGGCGGCTGATCATTTTCTTTATTCTCATGACCTTACTACATGATTCAGGGGTGATATTGCTAGAACTAGTCACTCTTAGGGGTTACAGGGTTAACTGATCCTATTTCTGCGAATAAGTGCAATGATTGAATAGGCACCTCCCCTCTGGGCTGTAATATCAAAAAAGTGCCCCTCTCAAATAGGCATCCATCCCCTTTTCCCTCACCTTCTTAAATTGAAGAGATACAAGAAAAACCTGTTTCTATTAATACTTTACTTACTACTTTTTAAGCTTCAACTGTAACAGAATCAGTACAGGTCAATAGTTTCTTAATAAGCACTCTGCTTGATTAAGCCCCCACCTCCCAATAACCACCTCTCCTTTTGGTCAAAATTCTAAATAAGTGCCTACACTCTTATTTGAGTAACAAAGTAAATTCTTTTAACAGTTCTTACCCAATGACTTTGACCTTGTGATGTGCCATTACCAGACCCTACAACTGAATTCAAAGTTGATGTTTCAGAATTTCAGTACATGATTTAATCTAATATAAAATTGATGCTTTTCAAGTTGATCAGTCAATGCAACAACAATTGATGTAATTTTTTAAATCATATATCAGGGTGATGAATATGCAAGTTCATCGCTATAGTGTAGGGCATTCTCAATCACCCAAATATAATTTCATTCCAACTTCTTACTGTTGTTACACCAGATTGCAAACACTTTATATTAATTAACTTTTATTAGTTACCAACAGAAGTATAAGTGTCACAAGAGTGCATGGAATGTTATCATTCCAGCCTTGTAAGTGATTTCTATCCACTAATTTTTGAAAAGGCTGAAGTTTTCCTGTGTTTAAAGTGAGAGAAAGATATAGGCTAACAGCATGGTATCAAAACTGGGATCCAGTTTTCCAAAGAGGAGAAGTTAACATGGCTGTCGACGGTTCCCAGCAAAACAGTAGAGATAAAACAATGCCAATAAACTAAAATAAAATTATATTATGTAACATAACAATGATTTTAATTCATCTGCACTGTTTTTTTATTTTAACACTGTTGATAGGGATGTATATTTTCATTAAGCTTACATTGATTGAAAATATTTGAAGTTTGGCCTCGCTCATCACACAGCCCATTGAGGTCTCTCCTAATAATTGATTTACCTTAAAATGTTCTCACGAGCAATTAAGTCACTGATGTTTTCCTGAGTTGCAAAATTAATGTCCCATACATGTATAGTTGTATATTGATTTGCATTTTCCTGTCTTTTATGAAGCACTGTTTTAAAAATTTGCTCCTTGCATCACACTGAATGTTTGAAAAAACTTTCAAACCTTTAACTCTCAATATTTCAGTCATAATTCTCAAATATGACATCATAATACAGGTAACAAATATAATTCGTTTTACCTTGTTCTTCCCATACTGCAGCAGTCCTGTCAAAGGAACATGATGCCAGCACCTGGCCAAATTCTGGATGTGCCCAAGTTACTTTCCATACTGAGCCAGAGTGGGTCTGTGAAATGAAAACTTTTAATAACTTTCCATGAAGACAGGGAAGGTGGAAGGAAAATCTGACAGGAGTAAGAGGCTGAAAAACAGGTCTAAGGTGTTCATGTAAGCTATGGACAAAGTTGAGTCAGAGGAAGAAAGATGGTAAGTTTTGTTCTTTGCTTGGTCAAAAAATATAGAGATATAATTTTTTAGGTCTCATCACAAAAGTTAAACAAAAGAAAACTCTAATGTGGTATCAAAACTCAGATCTCATGGATCAGATGCTCTATTACTAAGCTGCACTACACAGAATTTCATGCTGTGATCAGCAATGATGCAAGCATCTTGGGAGTTGATAGAATATCTTTTTCTGAAATAGTTCTCTGTTCCTTGGGGATAGGGCATGGAAGCTTTCAATCCCTGGGCCTCAAGTTTGATTGCTTATAGGTACTCAGAAAAAAAACCAAATACCTTGTTGCATCAAGAAGGTATCATATTATTTTAGAATATATTGTTCTGTACCTTCCAACTTGCTGTACAATGCCACTGACCATCCTCTCCAAGATCCCAAACCTGTTTAAGGTGATATTAGTAATATTACTGGTATATCATATATCACATGATAAACATCACAAATGGTCAACTCAATCCTTGCTCACCAGTATAAAGAAGACACACAAAAAAGGGCTTATAGTTTATTACCCTTATTTCACAAGGCTTCAAAGTCTAACTATTTGAAGATGTCATAATAAAGGGTGCATAATGTCCTCAGTTATTTTACATTGGTCTGGGCTTGAACCCTTCACCTCTTGCACAGCAGTATCGCACTCTACAACCTGAGCTAACCAGGCAACAGTGAAGTTTAGAGATCTCGCACAAGACTAAATGTCAATGAATAAAGGAGATAGGTTTCTAAAGAAATTGTAGTACTGTATTGGTGGGAGAGTATAACAGGTTAATTAAGTATTATCAACTGAGTTGACAACATAAATTGGCCACTGTAAAGAGTTTTAAAGCTGACATTTTATGTGTTAGCCCTTCATTAGAGCGAATGGAGGAATTGTGGGTTGTGTGTGTGTTTATATGCAGAAAATGGAACTAAGCTATTGGTATAAATATGGTGACAGGAAAACAAGAATAAAATAGTTGCTCAAAACGTCAACTTGAAAAACTCTTTACGGTGGCCAATTTATGTTATCAACTCAGTTGATAATACTTAATTACCCTGTTAAAACCTCAATGACTCTGGCCAAGACTTGAACCTTGACCTTGTGATCTCAAGTCCAATTATTGAAGTTCAGTACCAGTCTCCAAAACTAATCAGTCCATTTTTAAAATAGTCTATATATTTGTACCCAACTAAACAGAGAATTCACAACATAAGGCAACAACCTTTGTAAATGAGCAATTTACTGCATTGTATTATTTAATAAACATGAATCCACGTCTATGATTTCCTCATTAATCTCAAGTTTATGTACATTTAGGTCGATTAAGACTTGCATAATGCAAAAATCCTATGGTCAAGGCAAACTTAAAGAAGTAAAAGTTGTTTTTAATGGTAAATTATCAGATTCTGACCTTAACACTTTGATCACTGGAACAAGTAGCCATTCTTCTTCCGTGGTAATCGTACGAAACATCGTGAATCAAATCTTTGTGTTCTGCGGGAATTTCACGAGCTACAAACATGATTTTAGCGCGCCACAGACAACCAGCTCCTCTTTCTTTGTTTTTCAACTCCTTCCTGTGTCATGCGAAACTCTCAAAACACTCGATGGTGGATAAACGAACGGGGTAGTAAGAAAGAGAGGCGTCTACAATGGATAGTTGGAAAATTCAAGGAAATCTTTCAACTTCTCATCAGCCACGACCAGGAACATACTTCATGATAAAATACAATGTAGCTTCCCGCTGACTTCTTTCAAGTAGAAACTATACGGTGTCATATATGAGGAGGCAACCACTGTATAGTCATGTGACGAAGCCCTGATCGCCATCTTGACTTTTAGAACGTAATATTTCAAACCTTGAGGAGAGGGTGCAATCAATCTGCATCGGCACTTCGTCATCGTCTCTAGTATTCGAAACACTGCATTTCAGGTCTCAAAGAAACTCTATTGCTGTTTAGCTAGGTATTTTCTCGAGAAAATGGCGGATTTAGATGAAAGTGCGCAAGATAGCTTGCTTGACGCAGCTCTTCATACATCAAAAGACGACGATGCCGTTTTAGGAGATATTTCTGGAGTGGATCCTACAGTAGACGACTCATTGGAAGATCCGGTAACCTTGAAGTTTGCATAGCATGGTGTTGCTTACGATATCTTCTATTCAATGAGTTTAAAGGGTCGCCGCCATTTTTTGGTTATAACTTCTGAGCGTTGTTTTCTTTGTTACTTGTGAGTCGACAGTGTCCATCGGTAACAAACTGAGCTATGTAATTTTATTGTCTATTCAAGTTTTAGAGAAACTTACCCACTTAGCCCAAGAAGAGCTCTAAATTACCTTTAAGACGAATGTATTTGTTACTTCAATTTGTAGTTTTTTAGTGTGCACTTGACCTGAGGTCCAACCTCACGCGTTAACAATCTCTTGTGTTTGCTGCAAATATAGCTCTAAGAATTTCCTAGGACCACATCAGTTTGAAGAAAGGAAAAGGAAATAGTTTTCAGAGAGCAAATCTCAAGGAAAACTGTAAGCTTTGATTTTAGGAACAGACAAGTTGGCTACCACCAAAACTCTTTTTTTATCCAGGGAATATCATTCAGGGAGTATTTTTGTTTAGAAAAGATTTAGCTTGGGCACATTCAGTCTTGTAAAGTGTTTACACCAATCACACTCAAGCAAAAATATTTAATGGACTAATGAAACCAACATCTCTCTTTGTAAGCTTTGTTAACTGTTTTAGAATATATACTGGGTAGTTTTAGTTCCTCGAGTTATTTTACAAATTATCTGTGGTGGTACATTGAAGGAACTTGAAGCCATTAAAGCAAGAGTTAAAGAAATGGAAGAAGAAGCAGAAAAGTTAAAAGAGATGCAGAAACAAGTTGAAGAATCCATAATGAGTCCCACAGTTGGACAATCAACATGTAAGATTCAGTTAGATTTTGGTTTCCCTCCTCCCTCCTCCCTACACCAACTTTCTTAAAACAGGTATGAGTGGGTATTAATGTTTAATTGGAAGAACTTTTAAGGTTCATAGTGTTCTTGAAGATTGTTATGAAGTAAGAGTTCTCTGCTACAATGAGAGGAACCTTTTAAGTCCAATTAGAATTGGAAAGATGGTTAATTTTGAGCTGATATTTCTGTAACTCAGTGTTATGGGTCCTACTCAGCTGCATTCATATTGCATTTTCCTTATCTGCTTTTTATGTCCTCTTTCCTTCTTTAATTAATGGTTGTCTCTTTTTTTGAAGTCCCAAAAACAATTGAAGAAAAAGGTGAAATTGATGCAAGATCAGTTTATGTGGGGAATGTAAGTAAAATTATAATAATGTAGAAATTCGAAAGAATTTTTTAACTGTATATTAGCCCCAGCAGAAACCTCATATGGCGTAAATTTAATTCAACTTTCCCATGTTAGTCACCAATATGTAACAAAACATCTTTTACCATCAGTTATTGCCTTGTAAGTTTACTGAAACTAGCACTGAAGTGTGAGAAGTTTACTAAGACATTCAGATTTGCTTGTGTTTGTTACCCTTCATCCATGCACCAGTTCTATACCATAAAAAATTTAAATGTTCTCACATCAACTTCTTTTATGCTTTTTTAGGTTGATTATTCTGCAACAGCTGAGGAATTAGAGCAGCATTTTCATGGATGTGGCTCTGTTAACAGAGTCACGATTCTTTGTGACAAATTTACTGGACACCCTAAAGGGTTTGTGATGTCTTTGTGAAAGTGTGTTTTGAACTTTGTGGTCAAATATTGTTAAGCTTGTTAATAAGACTGATGTACATAGGTGTAAGAGATTACTTTGCATTTGGAAGTATTATATAAGTATTAATACAACTCTCTGGGGAGGGAAGTCTGTTAAAGGTAACCACCCCTCCTGCAAGCAATTTTGCTAGTTTCTTAACTTTTCACATTCGTAGTTTTTGTGTAGAGCAGAACAGAGAGTAAGGTTTTTTGCTCAAGAAGACAGCTTAACAATAGGGCCAGGGTTTGAGCTTAAGTTTCGGCCAGTGTTCTAACCAAAGGATCTCTGAGTACTAACAGTTGTATAACTTGCTGCTAGGTTTGCATATATTGAATTTGCTGACAAGGAAAGTGTTGAAAATGCAGTAACCATGGATGACTCCTTGTTCAAAGGAAGACAGATCAAGGTACATTTTCCAGACACCACCAGATTTATAAGTACACCCTTGCTTAGTTGGATAGTTTGATTTTGATGAAGTGTTAATTTGTTAAAAATTCTTGTCATTTTGTTGTCCAAGGTAAATCCTAAAAGAACAAATCGCCCTGGTATCAGCACAACAGACAGAGGATCATCAAGGGGAAGGGGAAGAGGGCGTGGCTTCAGAGGAGGACTGTACAACCCTTATGCAAATTTCATGCCCAGACCAAGGGGTAGAGCTATGTTTAGGTCAGTGATGTTTTCACTTTGGTGCTGGTGCAACCCATTTAATTCCAATAGTGATCAGTGTTAAAGAACTCCTGGCAATGACAGGGATTACTGCTTAGAAATAACACCAAGTTCTAAGAAACCCTAGTAAATAGAAAAGTATAGTATTTAGTGAATGCATGGTGATAAGTGAGACTGTGTCATTGTAAGTTTAAAGCCATCTTAGAGTATTTAAATGCTGGCTTTATTTAAACCTTGGTGTGATTGTCTTGCCTAAGTAGGAACTTCATTTGGACAGGTATATCACATATAGCTTAAAGCTAGTTTATGAAAATATTCTTTTTTCTCAGAGACATAATTGTTTTTTTTTTCCTTTTATAGGGGCCGTGGAAGGGCATACTGGTATTCTCCGTATTAACAACTGTCCAAAGACAACACTCATTCCCACATTATATTTTAAGTGTCTGTTTTTATATGCTTTGAATTGCTCTGTTTTTGCATATTTTGACAAAGTTCAGGTATTTTTGTCTTCACAGGTTTCTTGGCAATTCTCAAGGGACCACTCTATTTGGTTAAAATGAGAGCCTTGCTCAGCCTTCTTACCTAATGGATATATTCCAGAGTAGGTATAGTGACTTGGAAAGCTCTTTCAATTAAGACAGACTGTGGTGTAAAAAAAAAAGTTGAAATATAGGAAAGGAAAAAAGTTTTTGAGAACATTAAAGAAAAAACAAAACTTTACTTGAGGTAGAAAAAAAAAAGACAATGAGCTGTTTAAGACTGAGAAAAGAAGAATCAAGGAAACAGTGAACAGCTGAGTAACTAGAGAGAGAGAGAGTGAAAAAAATACAGATAGACACTTTTTTATGTTGTTATGATTAGTATGTATTGGACCAGCATTCAGCCTTACGACAAAAAAATAAAAAAAAAATTTGTAAAAATGTACCTGCAGTGTCTGTTGGTGTTGTTGATTATGACATTTAATTCTGCCAAGCCAGGGTGGGTTTTCAGTCCATCGCATATAATCTACTAACAATTGGTCAATTTTTTTCTGACCATTCTGTAGTTATACTTTTGTTTAGAGAGAGGCACAGTCAGTCTAGAATAATGCTGCATGAACCCTTCAGATCCTAAGTGACCAGCTTGAAATTTTTCCTTACTGTTATACAGCTGAATGCTTCATTAAGATCATGAGGAAAAGATTTGATTGTTAAACAAATTCTCCTTGTAAGTACTAGTGGAAATTTATGCAGAAGATTATGGAGAAAGTGGATTCTGATGTTAGGGTGTAACAGGCTCACACCTCTAAAACCAAGTGTGGGGCACTGTTTTTTAAAGAAATTGCTTGCTTGATCCTTCCAGATTGTAGACATCTGTGTGCTTTGACCTACTCACAAGGGTTTCTACCTGTTTTCCTCATGCATTTTGCATTTAAAGCGACTGGAAAATGTCTTTGTCTTCTATAAAATACAGTGTATTTGCATAGTCCATTACTTAAGTTTGTGGTGGCCTCTCCACATGTTCAACTTTTGCTTAGCAGGCCTGTTTCTTTGAGTTTCTTCTGGTCTGTGTTACAAAATCTACATTACAATATAAATTTGAAAATCAACAAGATTGCATTTAGTGATGCCTGGTCAATGTGGCTGTCTGTGATATCCATCATGATTTTTCCAATGAGTCAATTTGTTCCCAATAGTACCATACTTTCCAATGCCATAACCTGCCTGAAAGCATTCACAAACAGCTACACAGCTAAAGTAATGTAATTGCCAAGTACTGCAACTGATTCTGTTGATTAATCTTCTTTCATCATTTTCACAATCGCCTCCTCAAAACGCCTGGAGATAAAGTGATAGGTTAAGGGATACGATTGAAGTAATCAACTGACAAAACTGCATGTACTTTGATAACCTCCAAATAAGTGTATAGAAGTGTAACCCTTGTTACAAAGTGTTGTGAGCTGTCTTCAGATTCCTTTTAAAACTTAAAAGTAAAATTCTCAAGTATGGCAGACTGAGTGTAAGATACATTTGAATATAGCTGCTTCCTTGAAGTTAAAGGCTGTGGCTCATTTAGGCTTACCTTGATGTTATATTTTCTCCTGGGTTGTAAAAAGGATTGCAGAACATATCTGTATAAGCCACATGAAGTTTGCGAAACATCTGGCGAAAATAGTTATGAAAAAAGAAAAAAAATCAAGAGATTTACAAAGACTTAAGAAAAATAATGGAAGAGATTGCTTGATTCTTTCTGCCTCTTGATGCCATCATCAAGAGTGCAAGGTGTTACAATCGATATGGTTTCATGGAACCTTGAGAGCACACGTTCATTTCCCAAACAAATAAATAACTACAATTTACCACACTGAATGTTTGGGTTTTTACCAGTTCTTGGCTTAGGTACTGATGCAAAGCTTGATAATGCTTCAGTGTAATGAATGTGTGAACCAAACTACAAATGTGATCAAGAAGCTAGGTGTGATCTCAGGGATAAAGTAAAGATACCTGGGGTTGGTTTCTCAAGCTTGTTAAGTTAATTTTTGTTTTGTTGTGTTTTGTTTAAGGTCAAGTAACTAAACATTTCTGAAATTCAAACTGATGTAAGGGGAAACATATAAGAATGAGTTGGTTTTTCAGCTAATTTAGACCTGCATTTATTGTTCCTTAGAATTATATTTTAAAACATTTCTGCTGGTAGTTAAATAATGAGGACTTTCAAGAAACAGGGCTTAGGTTAGAAAAATGGTGTGAAAAAAAAAAAATCATACAATACTGTAACATTTGTAAATTTAATAGTAAACCATGGTGAAAAATCTTAATTAAGATATAACTGAACAAGCTTGTAAAATTAAAAAGTTAAAAATTGCTGTAAATTTATAAATTTACATTTATAAATTTAATAGTAAACTAAAGTAAGAATCAGATAGAAACTTGGTACAGAGTAAATAAGGAAATACACATCAATTTGCAACAGGTATAACAGCTTACCGTTCTTATCTCATTGTCTCTTAATGCAGTGTTTGCTGACTCAACTACAATTACAAACTTGATTTTGGAGTTTGTAACATACCCATACCTGTAACCTTAGTCAAAGATTGTTCAGTAAAATATATATGGAAGTAGCCACCTATATCCAGTAAACTGGAAATCTGCTACACAAGCTAGCACACTTTTTTAAAAACTTCATGCAGAGATCTACAGACAAAAACTACAAAATGGTCAAACTCTGTAACAAATACAATAAGATAAATAAAAATGAGAAGCATGGCCAAGCTAAAACAGAATTGGAGCAGTAACATTGTGGCTAAATTGGGAAACATGTTCCAAAAGGGAAATTTGTGTCCTGGAAGCAAAAATACTTTTGACCCAAGGCAATGGAATATTCTTGTTTCAAAGTAGCACAATTTGTTTTTGGAATATATGTTCCTACATGGCTATAATGAAAAAAAATTACCTTTTTCCACATTTCTACAACAGATCTGAACCATATACATGTGACAAAGTTTAAAAGGATACACTTTATAGTCTTCAGTGGGATATAATAAACCAAGGTAGAGTTCTCGAGGATCATTGGAACTTTTAGTCAGGGATGACACTAAGAATGCAATATATCAAATACATATCACCTTTGAGAAAGGTTTCTGAGGCTACCCAAGACTAGTCATGAATGATGAATGACCCAAATTTAGAAGGACATAGCAAGGAACTGAACAATGAAATAGAGTTGTTAAAAAAATGAGCTTAAAACACAATAACAAGCAAAACATAATCTGAAACTTGCGGTAGGACTTGACGGTGCAGAATAATTATGGGCAAGAAAATAACCTATTTCCACGAAAGAGATCACAAAATTTCCAAGAATTTTTGAAATACTGGTATTAAGTGCGCATGAGAGAACAAAAAAACAAATGCAAACGGATATAAAAAAAATTCCATAACAGATAATGGCTAACTTATACTTATTAAACCCTAACCCTAACCCTTACACTTTCTTATAATCAGGCATATTTTATTTTGTACGTCCTAGAGATGTCTTAAAATATACAGTTATCATTCTAAAATCATCCACCTTTTTCTTCGACAACATCTAACGAGGTATGAACTGTGTAGTGAAATTTCAACTCCTCTTCCGGAGAGACGGTCCGAAGATACAGCGGATAATTCTGAAATATTCAATGAACAAAAAAGTATCTGTGAAATAAGCTCAAAATCGTTTCTAAACGCGAAAAAGATGAAGTGTTTACCTCTTTCCCTATGACAGCGACACAGACCGCCATCTTGTATTGGTATGTTGTCATGTATGGGGTCATATACTGTACCAACCGCATCAACCGCAGATAGTAATGATTAGGGGCTCAATATTTCACTCGACAAAGGCCGAAAGACCATCGACAGTCCCCGATAGAAATTCTTGACCTTCCACGAAAATTCGATGGAAGATCGCCCATATATAGAGCCCAGGCTGTACACAGCCGGACTGCGAGTAGAAGCTCATGTGATCCAAGTGTAATCTGTGCAGGCAAAGCATAACAGCTAGAGGCTGCACGGAAAAGTAGTAGATGATTGCACAAGTCAAAGGATGAATTCCTCTGTGTTAAAGTTTATATGGGCTGCAGCCTCTTTGCTATGCTTGAGTGCAGCTCATTTTGTCAGAAGCGAAACAAAGCCGAACATTGTTATTATGCTCATGGATGACGTAAGTTACTCAAGTGTTGTAGAAATACTTTGTCGTCTCTCAGAGTTTACAGTGTCAGTTTATTTGGCTGGTTATGCTTCATATTCTTGCATCGCCAAACCTTGCATCTTTTCAATGAACTTGGTAGAGTAGGTTTAGGGACTTTAAGTTGTAAGAACGGCAATGCTAAGGAAGACTCGATTAGAATTAAAAAATGAAACACTATTTTTGGTTAGCATTTAGAAAATGGCTGCATGAGGTTACCGTCTCCTACGCCGTTACACCTCAACCACAGTGTAACGTATATAAGCAGCGTTGACTTCTAACTGGAAATTGAAATAATTTGTCGTTGTGGTTTCTGTTCGCAGACGACACAAATCTTGGTGATTTCACTTTGTAGTTTTGCAGAGGACGGCCAAGAAATGTACAACGTTTTAAAATGAACGTGTTAACCTATTGTTCTGTCCATTAGATCTTTTGTTTTGCCTCGTCCTCGTTGCCGCTCCCTATGTGGTTTGCCCAAGGTCCCTATTGTACGAAGGGGGGTTTAACAGGTTTCTGCGAGAGTACATGGGGCACCTCAGGCCTCGGGAAATTATAGAATGATCCTTTATACTAACCCTGACTTGAACTGACCTTCATTCTAACATTTCTTTTGGTTGCCATGGTGCGTGAAAAATATATTTGGCGACTAAAATTTCGACAAAAGTCGCTGATTGGCAACCAAAATTCCAGCAAAAGTTGCAAATTGGCTACCGTCAGAGAAAAAAAAAGATAAACGTGAGAAGTTTATCGATCCTTGTTCGAATATATATACGAAGATAAATACGTGCCACATTTCATTCTTACCTTCAACTTTGAAGGAAGAAGTATGGTGATTAAATATCAACTGATTCAAGATGTTATGGAAATCTTTAATACCAATATTTCAGCTCACTTCAATTAAGACATGTTTCTCAGCTGAGCAATAGAAATGTTATGGAACATGATTTGTCAGTGGGCTCAGCAACTTTGTAGCAAATCGGTTCTGCTTCCTGACATTAGAGTTTCTTCGTTCTCTCTCTCTTGACCGTTATTACAATCTTTTAATCAGCAAGGGAGTAAACGTACCAGGTTGGCAAATAATAGTTACTAGGGTGATTTAACAAGAGGACGGGTACGTAATTTCAGAACGGGAGAGCGCGTAGAATAGTGCAGAAGGGATTTGTGCACTTGTAAACGAAATAATAATGTTCGGAGTTATTTCTAAACTCATTTCCAGGAGAATTAGG